ATATTATATAACTTTAGGGGTGTTGTAAATTTTTTTCATATCTGTGAGTGCCAGAAGTATACTAGATCAAATGAAGTACAACACTTAGTGGGTCAGTCTTTGCAGAAAAATTGCCTCCATTTTGCAGTGTAGGAATAAAATTTTGATACAAAGGTTCAGTGGGCTTTGATAGCTCGCTTTGTTATGTCCCAGTGGTCTCACTTTGAAAGAGGTTCTAATAATATCTAATAGTTTATAAACATTTACATTTTGCTGAAAAAAGAAAGAAAACTTTACTTCTCTGTGAATGATTCTGCATTTGTCTCCATCAAAAAACTTTACTTCTATGTGAATGATTCTGCATGTGACTCCATCAGGTTTTTGCATTAAAATATACTTGCATTTATATATATATATATATATATATATATATATATATATATATATATATATATATATATATATATATATACACACACAACATACATACATACACCATTTTGATCACACTAATACAGAATTCAAGTCACAGATAAGTCAGATTAACAGCAAGATCTCAGCTCTTTTAAGACTTTGATCTTCTATCTAATATGCTTGTTACTGTTCATGAGACACAATGATACTTTGCTCAAACATGGTAATGATTTGTAATAAATGGTTCTATAATATGTGAACATACTCATGGGGTAATTCTGCTCCGATTGGCTGAACCTTTTACATCACTAGATGCCTTATTTTCTATAAAGTTTTGATGGTACTCTTTCAGTAAATTTATATCATTTTGAAAATAAAAGAAATCAATATCGGCACAATTTAAGCAAAGTAATTAAGCCTTTATCTTTGGCAACAATTTATATCAGACTGTTGACAATATAAAGTTTTAAAGGTTAAAAAGTGTTGTGTTCTTATAAGACTCCATAAACCATGTAGTAAAAAGCGTCAACTGGGTTACATAAGTCAGGTGTGCAGTAGCAGGCACATTTAGGTCTCTTGTTTCAGTATTGATTGATCAACACATACAAATATTTTGCATTCAATTTATTTTGAAACCTGTAATATCTTTTTTTAAAAATCCAGTTAGATTTGTAATCTTGGTCATATATGTTTGACAGGCTAAGAATTGACCATAAATTTCATTCTAGCCCGAATAACTTAGAGATTAAGAAATGAACTAGTTTGATAGATATCAGCTAGTTGTACCCACCAAAAAAAACTTTTTAGCGACAACTGGAAGTTCACTAGCCATGAACTTTTTTAAATTTCAAAAACTGCTCAGTAAATGCACTTGTTTGCAGTGAAGAAAGAGTTCACTAGAGCTTGTACCATTTGCAAATGTTTGTTATGGAGAAAATCACTTATATTGTTTGATTGTGGGGTTGTTTGGTTTGTTTTGTCTTGGCAGGATGATTGTACAAGTGCTGTTCTATCATCAATCATAATGTTATTAGCTACATATCTTTTGCTATGTCGGATGTGCACATTAGCCAGCCTTCTTCTTACATCAGTTAACCCAGTACCCATTGGATAATTGCAGTCACATAACCAATCTAAATGAGATGTAACCTGAAGAGGACAATATAAAAGACCAACATGATAGACAAGGTAGAGCTTACGTAGAACTTTGAGGAAAATTTGAGGTAATGTTTACCTTATAGTTGCTCAAGTTTTCATGGTCAAATATATTTGAATTCATTGTCAGATTTTTTTCAGCTGACTTGAAATGAAGCACTTTAATGATTTCACTACAATTTCAGTCAGCCCTGGTTTGTCAGTACTGAAATTGTAAAACTCATTGTAACTGTAATGTATATTATCTCAAACATATATATATGTGTGTGTGTGTGTATATATATATATATATATATATATATATATATATATATATATATATATATATATATATATATATACACACACACACACACACATATATATATATATATACACACACTATATATCTGATATATATATATATGTATATATATATATATGTATATATATATATATATATATATCAGAGATATGTAAGTACATGTATTTGTTGGACATGTTTAGTGCATTATACTTTTTTTTGTAACCATTAAACCACCTGAAATATACTTTAATAAGTTCAAATTCAGAGATCACTAGGTCTAATTTACAGGTTATTTCTTTGTCAAAGAATTAATAAAAATTGTGCTGACAAAGCTTATTTCAAAGGTGACTAAATTCTTTTCTTTTTCAGACAGTAAAAGATTGAAGCTGACTAAGCATGTTTGGTTATGTTTTTCTAATTGTTTAAACACTACAGGCACAAAACAGGAGACAAAGGAAGTGTGAAAGCTTATCTCTTGGACTTGGATAAAATCCTGTAAATGAATGATTGCTGAGGGATCTTTAACATTGACATTACATCAATCCATCACGCTGCATGCTGAAGGTCATAGTAGGTCAACACATGATAACTTGAAAACGTAATATGCAAAGTCTAAACCCAAAATGAGAAAAATTAAGATACTAGCAACAACAACTAGCTTTTCTTATCATCCTCGAAGACTTTTTAGGGAACCAGATCAATTAAAAACATCATCATTTTATGAGACTGCAAATGCCCATTAATTAGATGTTGCATCTTTTCTAGGAAGCTTAAATTTTTGTCAGTTAAAATTAATTTTTAAAAATTGGAGATGAAAATGCTCTTGGGTGAAATTCTATTTTCTAGTATTTTTTTAAAGAAAACAGTTGTGTTTTATATAATTACTTGGAAAAGAAAACCTGATTACACCATGAATGATAATATTAAAACTGCAGCAAATCTGGAACTGAAAGTCATGTGTTACATGTATCCAAGTTTTCATTTTTGTCATAAGTTGTATATAATTTCACAGATATATGACTGCTACATTTATTTTTAAGAGAAAAAATGATGAAAACCATTAGAATTTGAAAAGCTCTGATATATAATTCTTGGTGAAAATATTCTATACAATTTATTAGGCATATTTTGTAATGACTCTCTGTAGCAAAACAAAACTGCAGTATATTTCATTTTGGAAGTCTTAATATTGGGCAGGGTACATTGGCAATATTTTCTATCATCAACTTTCGATATGTCACCTGCGAATTTTCGTATAATGGTGATGTATGCAAACAAAATAATGTAGACATATAATGGCTCACACTCCATACACATTATAATCTGCCATGTGACGGCTGCATACATGCAGATTTGTGTGTGAATCTAGTAATTAAATCTGTTGATTGCAACTGTTTTTAATTATTATAGCTTGGAATAATTGTGTTACAATCAGTGGATGTAACATGGCTCGTCATTTTCTTTTTAAATATTAAGTGAAGAATGTTTTGAAAATTTAAGTAGATTATGTGCTTTCATAAAAAAATTAATAAGTTGCAGTTGTTCATTGTCTTAACTTTAGAAAGTTATTAGTGGAATGTGTGTGTGTGTGTGTAAAGTTTGAAAATATTTATGCACACCTTTTGGTTATATTATGAATTATGTTATTTCATTGTCTGCTAAATATTTGCTTCACTATCCCAAAACATTGCAGGCCTTGAAAAGATATTTTAGCCATGTACCAAACTTGTATCCTACCTGAAGCACAGGGCTGTAACAATGAAAAATGCAACTCTTACCAGTTGGGCACAGAAGATATTTTTTACATTTGAAAATATATATATATATATATATATATATATATATATATATATATATATATATATATATATATATATATATGGTGATGGAGGGGTCATTTTAAAGCTGACCAGTATCATATTTTACTCAATATATGTCCAGTTTTTTATTGTCTACAATCCAGTTTTTATATAGCAGTATGTCCTGTTCCCCAATGAAAAATATAATGGTATTCATTTCTTGTATTATTTAACAGTTGATCATTGTAAAATCAAATGAATCTTTGAACAATGACTTTAAAAATGTGTGGAAATTAAGAATAATTTGAATGCCAGAGGACTAGCATTGCAACTATCTTTGCCAAAAAGATTTGAACTACATCAATTGCAGCTGGATTTTGGAGCTGAATCTCCAAAAGAAGCTGCATACAGATTGAACCTTAATACAAAAATTACTGCTTTGTTGGACTGAAGTCTTTGTTCTTTATTTTTCATTGAGAAAGTGTGGTTATCACTATGATGGCAGCCATCTTGAGAATCTTGTTACAACTCCTGCCACATAAGCCTAAAAAGTCATACTGACAAATGTGGTCCTTATGAAAATCTCATGGCTCCAGTTTAATAAACTGGGGGTTTTCACTGAAAGACTTGTGTTATATGAAAATAACGCAGATGTAAATTCCAGTATGGTAACTATGGCAACCAAATTAAGATCTTGTTATTGCCTCTCCAGCTAAATGGAAAGTGATGTCTATGTTTGGTTTGCACCAGATGACTGATTATGGGGGGCCCCGAGTGGCCGAGTGGTCTAAAGCGCTGTCCGTTACGGATCACTGCCATCTCACCTCTGTCTGCGTGTGTTTGAGTCTAGGATTCGGCGAATGTGGATCTGTGAGAAAGCTTGCCAGTAGCTTCTCGTGGGTCGGTGGTTCTTTCCGGTGATTTCTCGGTTTCTTCCTCCACCATTAATACTGGCCACCATGAATAGCCTATCGTGTGCTGAAAAATGGCGTTAAGCTCAACAACAACAACAACAACTGATTATGGTTCTGAAATAAAATGTTGCAAGTCTGTCATCAAATATAGCTGCAGTAATGAACTTTCTCAAACTCTTGTAACTATATCTATTGAATGCATGGTCATATCATCGTGGAATTTTCACGAAAAGTTTTACAGTGGTGTCAAGTTTCCCTTAAATGAAAATGGTTTTATATCCAGCACTAGAGAAGATCAGATGGTCTTAACTCTGCAGTTAAAAGAAAGAAATGGCCATCTCTAGAATTCCTGAAATTCTTTTCGGATTGTATCGTGTCAGTCCCGTAAAAGGATTCTGGGATTTTTTTCCCCTTTTGTTTATATTCTTTTCTTCATTTTCTGCATCTTTCCTTGACTGCTCAATTGTTAGAGCGTCTGCCTTGAATGCGGGAGGTCGCAGGTTCGAACTCCGGCTGAGTCATACCAAAAACTTTTAAAATGGTACTAACAACTGCCTTGCTTGGTGCTTAGCTTTAAGAGGTTAGTGTTAGGATTGATAGGCCTGGTGTCAAAATAATGTGACTGGGTAGGACATCTTGCTACATGTCTGCGGCATTGTGCACTAGTGCTAAACATCACTATAAACTGTCACACTGAAGATATAGCAATATGTCTGAAAAATTGTTAAAGCTACGTTAAAATTCTAAATCACACACACTCATCTTTAAAAATTCTTTGTTATGTGTCCTTGCTAATTTTCATTATGGTATTATAAATACAATTGGCTTTAAATATCAATCCTTTAAATTTTATTTGCTGAATCTCCATCCATTTTATGATTGATCAATCAATTGAATTTCCATTTCGTTTATTGATATTGGTCTTTTCTGCTATTTCACGTTTTATTTCATCATTCATGTACGGAAAGTATCGGTTTCTGCCTCTTGACTCCCCTGAGTTATTCAATTTAGGAAATAACTGTCTTCATTGTAGATCCATTCAACCAAAGACTTTCTGATTATTAGTCTGCTGTACAACAGAGATGATTATTGTTGAATGCATGTCCTGAAATTAATTCCCATGTACCTCTTCACACTGATTGCCAGACCATTAAATGTCATTCTGTATTCACAATGTCATATTTTCAAAAACTTTCAACCACGTGACGTCTTTTATATCGTCTGCACCACATTGAATCTTTCTTAAGGTTATTAAGGCCAGATATTCTCTTCGAGCTAAATAAGCCCTGTCTGGAGGATGTGAAAAAGTTTGGATTCTTTGCTCAAAAGCTGCTTCACGCAAATGTTTGTAGCACGGTTATTTGTGAACATACCGCGATATGTGACGTTATGCCGCAATTATAATAGGGACCAAGTTTATTGTTATGAAGCAGGGGCCTTATACCTTTTTTAAATAAAAATTTCCGTCTATTGCTAGCTGGCAAAAAAAAAACAACTGCACTGACCTTTAGCAAAAATAACACCACATTATATCCATTATTTGATAACAAAATTATCTTGCTCTAGAAGAAAAGAAAATTTCTCAGCTCAAAAGAAAATCGCAGACGAGCCTGAAATTACCTTAACTTTAGATGAATTTGCTAGCTATATATATAAGTAATGTGTAAGTTGTAATCCAGCAATTGTAACAATGGTGCATAGATTAAGCTTACACAATAATTGGCATCCTACAAAAGACATTCTTGATAAAGCAGGAAGCTTTTTTACAATAATCCTATAATGTATTACAATATGCCATCATTTTATTAGCTACTCTACTGATGGAAACATCAATTGGAATGCCAAAACCAGCGCAAAAATACAAAACAAAGAGAGCAAGTAAACACAAAACACCCAACAAATGAGAAAATATTTGGTGAACCTAGAATTAATGTAAAATTCAAACAAACAATTTTCTGCCATAAAAATCTGCGGTTGATTCGCAGTTTCGCAAAGGATTGCATATGTTGAACGTGTACTAGTAAATAAATAAATCATTCTTAAAATTTCGAATTTTTTCTTAAAAGCTGCATATGGTTGGAATATGACTGCATCCACTTTGGCAGCTTGATGGCATAAAGACACGTCTTATACATGATTAAAGGATCACCAATATTGTTAACATTTAAAAATAATTTGTAACAAATACAACTTTTGTTTCATTATTTTTTTATTATGATTGTTTTTCTTCAATTATTGTCATAAAAAAAATGAAAACATTCTGTTAATATCATTAATTTCGTAACGATTTTTCGGGAATTCACATAATACCGTAAACTCTACGTACCGGTACAGTGAAAAAGTACTGTGATGAGTAACAAAGTAAAAAGGTTACTGCGATATACCATTTATACCATGCTCCTGGGGAAGTTTCTAATGACAACAGATTTATGTTCCGAGGATATTCTGATTGACAATTAGCGTGCGGGAACGAAAGGTCAAATGTCCAGTGTCACAATCAAAGTGGTACACAGGTACCCGAACACCATTCTGAATCGAAAAATAATGTCTTGACAACCTGAACACGTTGAGTGATTTGTGGTCTGCTGGTTTTGTCTTTACTATTTTCTCCCAAGTCGGTTTTAAAAAAGGTACTATGCGTTTCCTCACCTTCACATGTTATTATAACGCCTTTGCTCACTGTTTTCATATTGGGCGAGTAGCAGTTTGACGATTTCAACCCGAACTTGTTTTTGATCAGCCAGAATTTGTTTTTGATCAGCCATTAAAATAACGAGGGAACAATTTTGCACAAACTTTACTGAACTCCATATGATTTGTCAGTTTAGCAAAAATAGATGATGAATTCATGATCATGGTGATAAAAGTATTTTCTATTTTTGGGTATCAAATATCAATAGTCCACTTCACAGTAGCCACTTTCCTCTCAACAATCGCAGACAACGGTCTTCCATAACGTAAGTCATCTTCCATAGATTTGCAGCAGTCTTTAAAAGGATGAAATCCCCTCAAAATTGCAAAATATCCAAATCCGCATTGATATCAGTAGTATAGGGAAATGAGGGTTTTGGCCCACCACCCCCTCCCACACCTCCTCCCCCACCCCCGCCAAACCCTCATTTCCCTATACTACTACTACGTAGACAGATATTTTGTAACCAGACAAAACAACAGGTGTTGGAATGTGATAAGCTCTGTCAACAGAAGTGACGAATTTGTTAGAATAGTGCATGCGTGGAATACGATTATTCTAAAGACAGCAAATAGGTTTTACCACAAATTTTTTATCTGATAACAGGATGAAAATTAAACTGCATTAGAACGTTTCAGTTAACAAGGCGGAAATTAAACTTGCATTAGAATGAAAATGATATTATTTTAGTTATATTATATATTAAGTTTAGATAAAATTTTATGTTACTCATATTTTTTGTGATATTTTTTTCATACTTGCTAACCCTAATTGGTAGAATATCTGTTAACATATTGTCAATAATACGAAATTCACGTAATAAATCATCCATATTATATTTGACTCCTCGTAGGTAAGACCGGATCTGATCAAGTAGTTTCTTGCAAGTTTTAATTGATGTTAAACAACCGTGCTTCTTTATCAAAAGTCTTGGTTCTACTTTTTTACACGCCGCTGTAAGTGAAACACCAATAGCGGATATGATTAACAAAAAAGGATTTAATGATACCCCACTTGAAATTATACCAGAACTGGTCATTAACAAGGGTAGATAAGATATTACTCGAAGGATCTTGTTGTAGTATTTGTAACATTTTTTCACGCACCAAAGTTTTTTATGATAATATTTATAGTATTGTATTAATGCGTCTACATCTAGTTTTGGAATATCTTTTGAAATATGATTGAAATCAACTATACTTCTTTTCATTATAATATTAGTTCACATAGTCCTATGTTTGGTTAATCCATAATAAGAGCTGGTTGTTCAGCTATAAATTCCAAACACCAGAGAAAAATTGCTAATTTTAAAGTTTTATCAACTGGTTCAAGTACAAATTCTTCAGAATTTTTGTTTATTATTACAGATAATACTCCAGATGAGTCATCATTTGGATGACGAAATAGATATTTGGTAGATATTCTAAACTTTGCACTGCTAAGCACTGATAATCTATACACGCCGGTAACTTCTGCAATATATTTGATAGAATTATTTTTTAGTGTCCACCCAGTATAACCAGTATCAACAGTATACACAATATTTTTAATCTGTTTGTGAGGAATTTTAACCATACTCGTTTTCTCAACAATATTAGGAATTCCACTAATAATATCTTGAGTTTTGTGTTAATATCATTGAGTTTTGTGTTAATATTAGCGAGTGTAATGTTAACGATGGATTTCCAAAAAAATCATCTTTAAGCGTGTTTATGTTTCTACGAAAATTTAGAAACGTTTTTACGTGACCGGTAAATTCATTTTTGAGCGCTGTTATTTCATTACTGATTGGAACGTCCTGATCATCGACATATTTCTTAGTTACAGCGTCTCCATCTGTAGTTGGATATCCAAGATCTGTAATCTTGTTCTGGTTCATAACAATATTCCCATTAAATAAATCACCAGCTTTTTTAACAAAATCATTTACTGACCTACCAGAATCTTGTATCTTACCTTGATTGTTAAAAGTCATGATATTATCAGCAACCGCATTAGGAATTCGTACAAGTACATCTGGCAGTTTTACATCACTCGTTTTTAATCGTCCTTCTTTGTCCTGGAAAATGACGACTTCATCTGGTTCTACACTGGTAAGATTTAGTAAATTATTGATTTCATTTTTGAGCTGATCAAGAGTTGCATATTTGGATAAGTCACCTTGGTAACCTTTTGTGGATAAATCTCCTGATAGTGTTCCAAATTTTGTATAGTAACTCATTATTTACTGTCTTAGATAAAATTATCAACACTAGTTTAATATTATACAAAATGGCAAAATCGTCGATATTAAACTTTGATACAGAGAAGCTGGTGAAACACAAACATAACAAAGAACTTCCTGATTGTCATTATCTTATTGTTGGGCGAACTGGATCAGGAATAACAAACTTGCTTATGAACTTGCTTCTTGGTGATAATTTTAACTACGATAGAGTCTATATTTACACAATCAATCCACAGCAAGATGAGTTATTAAGCGATTATAATGACAAACTTCGTGATGAACTTAAGGCTGGTGAAGATTTTTTTATAATTAGGCAGCCAGAAGATCTTATTCCAGTTAATCAACTTGATGCAGATGAACATAAGATAGTAGTTTTTGACGATATTCCGCTAAATAACATGGAGATGAACAAAATAAGATCGTATTTCTCGCTGTCACGTAACAAACAATGTAATTCTGTTTATCTCGCTCTAGGATTTTATAATGTGGACAGATTTATTCGGCGAAATACGGGTTGTTTTATATTATTTCCAGGACTGGACAATGTTGACGTTAGAAATATTGCAAGCGAACAATGCGGTGACGTGACAAAAGATAAGTTT